AAATGATGCATGCACAACCTTGGAACAATAGGGCTCCAGGATATAGGGATTAAGGCACAGTTTGAAGAGGTATAAGAGGGAAATAGTGTTAAGATGCTTGGCTGTCTTTTGAATCTGGATTTTCCTTGCCTACCCTCGCTATGGGTCGGACCCGACTCGATGGCACTCAACAACAACAACAACAACCATTGTAAAATAGACCCTTAAGGTAGGGAGAAAGGATAACCAGAATCATCACTACAGAAAGCTTGTAAGTCTGTCTTCAGCCTATAACTGATTGGAATACCTTAAAGGGGGCTAGAAGTTGCCCAGTGAAAGAGGCTTTCTGTGGAGCCTTTACATTGCACAAGACCATAGGTGGAATCCAGATCCCCATACAGAACCACTGAGGTAGGAAATTTCCACTGGAAAGGATGAGTAGACCAGCCTGGAGCTGCTAAAAGAACAAAAGATACTTCGTGAAAGAAAAACTGGCAGGAAAAATCCAAAACAATAACAGCAGTGTGATTACTGTAAGAACATGTAAGCTGTTCACCCGGGAGCCATCAAGGGACCCCTCAGAGCAAACTCCCTTCCAAGACTGAGACTCAAGGGGAATACATGAGCAGGCATGTGATTTGGCTGGTGACCACACTGGTCACCGATAAAGGACAGCCATGAATTGCAAGCTAAGCCCGACTACTTTCAATAGCCCCCCCCCCCGTGAACACAGGTGGAGGCCAGCAGTATGCAAAACTCGGGGACTCCTGGGCCCAGAGGCAGTGACATGGCCACAGAGGACTAGAGCAGAGAGTGAAGCGCCCAGCTGATAGAAAGTGAGGGGAGATGCACAAGAACACCCATACTTGAAGATAATACCCACTTGACCTGGCTTCGATGGCTGGATGATCAAAACTCAACTAGACCGTCTTCTGCGTATAACTGATTGGAATACCTAAAATGGGACTACAAGGTATCCAGTGAAGGAGGATTCCTGAAGAGCCTCGACAGTACAGAAGAATATAAATCAAAGCCTAACCATATCCAGACCTTCAGAGACGGGAAATCTTCCCCTCGAAAGGGCAAGCAGACCAGCCTGGAACAGCCAGAAAACTAGAAAACACTTCTTGAAAGAAAGACCTACAGGAAAAACACAGAACACTAAGGGCAGTCCAACTGCTACCACAAGAACAAGTAGGCTGCTAGCCCAGGAGACATCAAGGCAAGTGGATAGGTCCTCTCTCAGCACAAATCCTCTCCCAAGACTAAGACACAACGGAAATACACGCTCTGATTGGCCACCACGCATGTCACCCATAAAGAGAAATGGCCTAAGAAGAACAATGAAGCGGTGAATTAAGCCCTGCATCGTTCAGCAGACTACTGTGAACCTGGGTGGAGACTCGGTTGCCCAGCAGCGAGGTGGGACCGGGGGGGTTCATGGGCTCAGAGTCAGTGACACAGCTACAGAGGACTAGAGTGGAAAGTGAAGAGACCAGTTGATAAGAAGAGGGCAGACAGACGCAAGAACACCCACACTTGCAGATGATACCCACTTGACCTGGCTTCAGTGACTGGATGGATAGAACTCAACCCGAGGAAGAAGGAAGAGGGGGGAAAAAAAAAGTGTCATCTGATACAACTGGATGAACTGGACCTACACATATAACTGCAGTGGCTCAAAAGAGGAAACAATTACCAGCTACAAGAGTTATTCCCATCCCCTCCATACAAAGAGTGAGAAGGGTTGGGCAACTTGAACATTGGCCACCCAAAATGGGGGAAGGGATACAAAGGTAAGAAGTGACTGGCTTACAAGCTTTCAAGAGGGAACCTAGATCCACAGGGCGGGGAGGATAGTGGAGTCTCCAGTGAATAGTACCCAACCTGTCTAGGAAGGGCTGATGAAAAGAAGTGCAGACAGGTCTCATGTGATGCAATGGTGAAAATTGTTACCAGGACTGATTGTGAGGACTGAAGCGTAAAGGTGCATATTTTATAGTAAAGAGGGGAGTGACTAACCTTTCAGTCTAGGAGCAGAGGGCCCTGGGACCACCAATGGAGAAGAGCGGAGAGCGGGACCCCACCCAGAGAAGCAGTGAGGCCCAAGATGGAGACAGAGAGGATGACGTGAAGAGATGGAGTGCCTGAGGAGTTGAGACCCAGAGAGGGAAAGGGGCTGTGTGCTGAGGACAGTGGGGTGGAGGGGCATATAAGGTATACCCTTTCGCTGGGGGTTGATGCATGGATGGGATGGTAACTAAGGCAATGAAACGATGTACGATAGAATGAACGTAAAACTAATGTTTCCCCATGTAAAATATCACTCAATACACAATAAAACATTTATTTAAAAAATAAAATACACTACTCTTAGAATCACACACACACACACAAAAACTGGACTAGAAGAAGAAAGGAGGGGAAAAAAAAAAAAA